AGGTGGGTCTCGCCGAGGCCTCTGGGCGCGGTTGCGGCGGCTCCCAGCCCACCGGCGCCCGCGCTCTACCGGCTTTGCCCCAGTTGTGCCCCCCGCGGGCGCCCCCTTTCCTGGCCCTCCAGGCCCGCTGGCTCGCTCTCGCCCCTCTGCGCTTTCCTGCCGGGCTGCAGTCGGCCCCTTCTCCGCCGGCTTCGCACCCCACTCCTCGCTGCCTCCCCTGCGCTTCCTGTGCAGCCCGTGGGGTCGCGCCAAGCGCCCCTGAACAGGGCAGCCGGGCGGTTTGCTGTTTTCCAAACCCTCCCCCGGGTCTCCTGAGGGGTCCAGGCCCGCGCCCTCAGTGGCCTTTACAGCTACACCCGCCCTGTAGACCCGGGAGGCCAGGGCAGAGAAGCTGGGTCATCTGTGTCTCTCACCCCTCCCCCCTTTCCGTACCAGGGATCGAACTCAGGACCTTGTGCTTTCGAGGCAGGTTCGGTGCCACTGAGCTAAATCTCCTGCTCCCACTCCCCTTTTGAGACAGGGACTCACTGTGTATGTAGCTCAGGTTACCTTGAACTTGCTAAGTTGTCCAGGCAACTCTCCTGCCTCAGCCTCTGAGTGCTAGGATTACAGCTTTGCACTGCCATTCCTGGCTCCAGGGCTCCCCTTTCCCCCAGCGGTGAGGACTTCCAAGGGAGTGCACAGGCTACCAGCACCACACTGCACCCATGGGCAGACAGCTGCCTGCAGAGGCCCTGGTGGGAGAACGAAGCTTTGCCCTGGTCATGTCCAGAGCCAGCTACTTCTGCCCTCCAGCCATGTGGCCCGGTCAGCCCCTCTCCTGAGGTCCCCTGCTGGGTGAGCCAGAGGGCAGTTTACTGGCCCGTCCTGGTCTCCAACACCTGGGCTCTGGGCTAGGATTCTGCCTTCAGTGATGCCCACAGATGATGGACAACTGTGGCTGTGAAGTGCATGATCCTGCCAGGACTCTGCCCAGTGGAGCAGCCCCCACTGGCCAGGGCTGTGGCGTGGAGCTGTCCCTGGAAGAGGACAGTAGGTCCTCTTCAGTAGGTCATGTCCATGCTGGAGAGCTGAAGTATCCCCCAAGTGGCAGCCATGGGCCCTGAAGCCACCAGCCTCTCCTGGGCTGGGCCCACTGCAGGCTTCTGTGCCCCAGGTCTTTCTCCCGCTCCTGTGCAGTGGCCCCCTGGCCCGAGCTCACCCCCAGATGCCCCAGCTGGCCCAGAGCAGGCATCCCAAGGCCTCCTGCAGCTTGCTGCTGCCATGCAGCCCACCCACTTGTGTGGGAGCCCAAGAACAGTGAAGTCCATTTCCAGGCCAGCACTGGGGCAGGAGAGGCCTGTGTAGCAGGCTGCAAACTCCTCCAGGGTGGGAGCAAGACTGGGACAGGACAGAACAGGGAGGCTAACTGGCTGCTCCACAGGGGTCCCAGGGCATCAGAAGTTTCTCTGCCTACCACGTGGCCCACTTTCCAGGGCCCCTGCTCTGCAGCTTGCTGCTGCTGGGGTAGCCCCCTCAACCTCTCAGGGGCTCCCCTGAACCTCCCATCGGCCCCACAGTCTGCTCCTGGGTACCCTGTCTGCACACCCTGGACACTGGGCCCAAGCTTGTCCCTGGGCATACAGGATCTGCCCTCTGGGAGTGACTCCCCAAGCCTGTGCTGGCCACCACCTCCAGGAGTCTTCTGCGTCAGGAGGGAGCAACTTCCAGGTCACCCACACCTGCACCTTTCTGCCATGCAGGCGAAGAGTGGAGGAGCCTGGTCACCCAGGACTCTGATCTGAGGCTGGGCAGGCATGGAGAGCAGTAAGCACCCAAAGGAACTGTGACACCAGCCACTGGGTCAGGGTGGCCCCTGGCCTCCCAAGTCCTGTTGGGGACAGCCTGGTCGTGGCCACTGAGGCTCCACCTGTGGGTGCACTAGAGGCAGGCAGAGGTCTGACCCTCCCCTGAAAAGGGCACCTGTGACTTGTGCCAAGACCAGAAAAAGTCCAAACTTTTTTAATATAAAAAGATGAATGAAAAATTTATTTATAAATTTTTCACGCTGGGCTACAGTCTATCATATGCTCGGGAACGTGCTGCAGACTTTATCCAGTTGGAAGTAATCAAACTGGGACCCATACAGAGCTTCGACATTAGCCTAGGAAGTCTTAACATTAATTAACATAATTAAAAAGGCATTTGCATGTAGAAAAAATATACAGAACTCCCTTCGGAGTAATCTGTGCTTGTCCCAATGTCTGCCTGCTCCACGACATTAGCAACATATTCTTCTCACGCGGTTTCATAAAAGCGAGAGGCCGAGCGTGCCCGGCCAGCGCGAAGCCCTCCACCACCTGTGTCCTCCGGCGCTCCCCATTTCTGCACGCAGGGTCAGCAGCACTTCTGTGAGGGGAACCTCATTTAAATTTGAATAATTCAGCCTCCCTTTTATTTCCCAGGATCAAAACAACAAGGGGTGTGGGGTTGCATAGAAAACTGGAACCACGGAAACCAGGAAGGGCCCCTTGGCCGGCCCAGGTCCGCGGGCAGCCCCTCCCCCACGGCGGGCTCCTGGGCCCGGATCCCCCGACCGGGGAGGCCGAGGCAGGCCGCGCGGCCCTCCCGCTCAAGCGAGATTCACAGTCATATAGGCATTTTATAAAAATATAAATATGGGTACATTGTTGCCTTCACAACGCTGGATACAACGCCCTTTAAAATTGGGTTTATAACCGAGTCAAAAACACAACTAAAACTTGGCTTTAAAATAGGTTAATATTTTATATTGTCATAAATGTTATGACATTTAATCGTGGCAAATCCATTTACTTTTTTTTAAAAAGTGTGCAACCGACTGTTAACTACACTAGCGCTCACTCGGAGGCTGAGGTCCCCTCGTCCCGGGCCCCGCGCGAACTCCGCAAGCCGGGCCGGGTTGGGGACGGCCTCCCACGGAGGGCGGGGCTCCCCAAACGCGCACGGGTGGGGGGAGAGGGCGGGGCGGGAAGACCCTGGGGCTAGGCGAGATTTTCAGTGCAACCAAGAAATGGTAGACTCAAGTTTTTAAGTTTTAAGACTAGAAAAAAATTCATCTTTCCCCCGTAAAACCACATGGACCACGCACAATATTTTCCAAACAACAACAAAAAAATCAGGCGCACAAACTTCACCCACAAATATACACACACGTGATAAATACAGGGGCCGCCGGTGTCTCTGTCACCGCGCGCCCGAGTCCGCCGCGCGCCTACACCTCCCGGAGAAAGCGCCGGGCGCGGGATCCGGCGTCCGGGCTCCGAGCTCGCCGCTGGGGGACTCAGGTTTCAAAGGCGCCAGGCGCGCCCCGCCCCCACCCGCCAGGCGCCCGGACGCCGGCAGGCGCTGCGCCGCCGCGGGGAGGCGCTGTCGGCCAGGGCGCGCCCGGCGCACACCGAGGTAGTTGGCAGGAAGGAATAGCAGAGATGACACGGACGGGGGCCGGGTCGGACACGGAGGGCCGGGCTGGGGCCGGGACGGCGGGCATCACCGGCCGCTGGTAGCGTACTTGGCCTTGGTGATGAGATAGAGCACGATGTCCTGGTGGCCGCCGAACGCGGCGATGTGCAGCGCGCTCCAGCCGTCGCGGTTGGCCAGGCGGATGTCGGCTCCGAACTTGACCAGCAGCTTCACCAGCTCCAGGTTGCCGTCGATGACGGACTGATGGAGCGCCGTCTGGCCCTCGGGCCCGAACGAGTTCACGTTGAACTCGCAGTTGGTCATGTTCTGCAGCAGCGACTGCAGCTCCCGCGTGTTGCCCCTGCGCACCGCCTCCTGGAAGATGCGCTGGGTCTGCGGCGCCGAGCAGGTGGACAGCTCGGCCTGGCTCATGCTGCCGCCGGGCGCGGGCCGAGGGCCGGGCCGGGGCTCAGCGCGGCGGCGGCGGCTTCGGCGCGGGCTCCCGGCTGCCTGGGCGCATGGAGGGCGCGGCGCCCGTGGGCCCCGCACGCCGCTCCTGCGCGCTCCGGGCCGGGAGCCCCCGCCGCATCCAGCCGCGCCCGGGAGGGCGGGCGACGGAGGAGGGCACTGCGTTCGCGGGGCCGGGCGCCGCGCACGGTCTCGGTCCCGGTCCCTTCTCTGGTCCCTGCTGCCTTCGGTTGGGCTCGGATACGCTCCCACGCAGACCCCTCACGCCTCCCCCCGCGCCGCGGCTCTCGCTCGCCCGCAGGGCCGAGGAGCCTTTTACCGTCCTTATATTTGCATAACAATGGGCGGCCTCAACGCGCGCGCCGGCGGGCCCCCATTGGGCCGCGCCCACGTGGGGGCGTGGAGTGGGCGGTGCCTGGCGTGGGCGTGTCCCGGCCGCCACTAGCTCTACCGTAGGGGGCGCTGGTCGTGGGCGCGGGTTGGCCAGGCCAGGCGGCCGCTGGGGGACCCAGCTTGGCCGCTGCCACCTGTGTCTGCGTGCTCCAGACCTCGCCTCCCTCTGCTACACCCTGCCCACGGTCCCTCGGGCCAGCCAGACCCACGCCCGGTGCATGGCTCCGCACTCGGCCCGGTTACTGCTCCACGAGCATCTGGGGCATGTGGCCCTTGGCCTCCTGGCCCTTCCTGCGCAGGGTGGCCTCCCGGGACCCGGCCAGCCTGTGTATGTCCCCACCGCGCTGGCTCGTGCAGGGGTCCTCTCTCCCGATGCAGCGAGGCAGGTAGTCACCGACCTCCCTCATGGCCACCGGAGCTGCCCGGTGCCTCTTCCTGTCCTCCGGAACAGGGCCACCAGGCCTGGCCAGTGCCCAGCCCCAGATAGGCGCCAGGGCCACCCTAAGAGGGATCCCAAAGTGTCTTTTCCAAACTATAAAACCAACTCACTTTTTATTGACTGCTCTAACAACTGACAGGGAGGGCTGGCTAGGGAGGCCGCCCATTTCCTCATTAGGTTTTACAGTTTACAGCTAGCCTGCGGTCGCTGGAAATTAAGGAGGAATGATTCTCAGCCTCGCAGAGGGGGAGGCCAGGGCATGCTGGGGCTTGAATTCTTTCAGAGGCCAGGCTGGAATGCCGAGCAGGCGGCCTGGGTCTGAGGGGGGACCACCCTGCCAGGCCCGTCTGGGGACCCCCCTGCCTGCTGCTGCAGAGTGTTCTGGGGTCGCCCCACTATCCACGTGGGCGGCCCCCACCCCACCCCACCAGCACTGGCCTGACCCTCAGGCTGACCCCGGCTGACTTAGTGAGGCCAGGCTCCCCTGGGCCATGCTGTGGCCTGGGAGGTCAAGTCTGCTGGCTATACTCATCTGACCCCTAGACCCCCTGCCCCTGTCTCCCTGCCTCTCCCAAGAGCTCCAGTGGCAGCACCCAGGGCCGCTCCACCGTGAGGCGGGAATGTTGAGGCTCAGGTTCTGCAGCTGGCACACAGGGAGCCTCCCTGCTGCTGGGCTGCTGGACTGCAGCATGGCCCAGGCTGGGCATGGGGGACAACACACTCCTGGCTGCTCCCCACTGTCTTCCTTTGGGCCTGGGCCTGGTGCAGGATGAGCAGGGAGTGCTGCCTCATCTCACCAAGCCTGGGCCTGGTCCCCGGATGGTGGATGGATTCCCAGTTAGGCTGATGCCCAGGTGGGCTTTAGCAGGGCCTGGAGGAGGCACCGAGATGCCTGGCAGAGCAGAGCCTGGGAGAAAAGTCCCGTTGACATCCGCGGCGGGCAGCAGACAAAGGGGCCTGTGTGAGCTGTGTGGGAACTCGGGCCGCCACCACGGGGCCGTGAAATCGGCGGCGGCCCTGGTGAGGCCTGGGCGGCTTGGGCAGCCCTGGCAGGGGTGGGTGGCCTGGCGGGCGCCTTCCTGAGGTCACCCTGCCTGGGTCAGGAGTGAGGGTCACACTGTGTGTCTGCGACAGACGCGCCTAGCTGCTGGGGTTCGGGTGACCCCACTGCCCCGGGGGTGCTGGGCCGCCTCTCGTTCCTATACCAGGCTGCAGTGCTCTGGCCTGAACCCCAAAGCCCAACGCCCCTGGCCCTTCTCCCACAACTGCCCCACCGAGGACGGGGCGGGAGGGCCCTGAGCCCCCCTCCAATGTTTGTTGAAGGGCACGTCCAAAAGGTGGACATTTGTCCCAAATGCCGTTGGTGTCAGGGAGGGGAGGGGCCTCTGTGACCTGGCCAGGCTCTGAGGACTCTGGTGAGCTCTGGCCGAGGGCCGGGGTTCCCACCCTGACCGTGAGGCTGGCCCCCGGGGTCCTGGCCTGGGGGTGCCCTACCCCAGAAGGGGATAGTGGGGGCCCGCTTCTTCCTCCAGGAGCCCCCTCCCCTTCCTCGGGGGGCTCAGGGCAGTGGGCAGCTGTGGGCATGTTCTGGGACCCTGGCTGGGGCAGATGGGGCAGCCTGGGTGGGCCTGGGGAGGACAGTGCACAAAGGGCAGCTGGCCAGGGCTGGGCCAAGGCCTGCGGCCACCTTAAAGGCATGGAGCAGGAGAGGGAGGCAGCGGGCAGTGGGGGCGGGGCTTCCAGCTAATTCATTAAAATGTGTCGGGGAGCGTGGGAAAGAGGAGAGTGTTTCTTCCCAGCAGCCCAGACACCTGGTAGAAGGGCTGAGAGAGGATAGGCATCAAATAACAAACACTTAGCCCCGGCCAGCAGCGGCCAGCGCTGAGGAAGGACAGGACGCCCGGGCAGGAACTGCTGCAGACAGTCGCTGTGACCGGGGCTCCTACCGCCCGCCCGGCCGGCCGATCAGTGGGCTGGTGCTGGGGGCCCCAGCCGCCCTGTCAGCGCCGTGGCTGTCCCCAGCTCCTGGACGGGGCAGTAGGCATGGGCACCAGGCACGGGGCAGGGGGCCAGGCACCCCCGGCCCTACCAGGACCCAACCAGGAGGCAGCACACAGTGTCACGGTCCCTGTTCCGATTCCATCTGGGGCAGCCGCAGCCCTTGAGCCACGTTGGGAGTGGAGGCCCAGGCTGTGGCTGGGCTGGGCAGCGGTCGGTGCCCTCGCTCACTTCCTCTCAATCCCTCCCCCGGCAGGACGTGGAGCTGGGCTCCTACTCCTGGCAGAGTGCCCTGGTCACCCTGGCTGAAGCTCAGGCACAGGCTGGGAGCTGCCCAGCGGGTAGAGGGGACGGTCTGGGCTCGGGCGGGCTCCAATGGGACCCTCACTCAGCAGGGCCAGTCCCTGTCCGTCTCCGAGTCTCCTCTCCGGGCCCTGCTCTCCCCGTTTGTGATACGCTGTCTGGGGTCCGGGGGTCACGTGGACTGGGCTGCAGCCCCAGGGAGCCAGGGGATCCCAGCTGGGCCAAGCCAGGGCTGGAGGGCAGAAGAGGGTCTGGTGCTGGCCCCAGGGCCCCTTGCCTGGTGCATCCACCTAGGTTCCTTGGCCAGATCTGAGCTGGTTTCCTCTGAGAGCAGGAAGTGGAGGAAAGGGATGTGGTGGGGCACATTCCTGGGGGGTGAGCTAGGAGGAGGTGCAGGGCCCTGCAGGACCAAGCTGGGGCATGGGCTGGCTGGGCAGGAGCCCCTCCCCGGGCCCCCCTCAACCCCATCCCCACCTCGGGGACCCCTGCCTCCCCGCCCCTCCCCCACACCAGTACCCTGGGGCCTCTGGGGGGGTTGGTAGGGGCCACTCAGGCCTCAGCTTCCTTCTGAGCAATAGCAGTGCAGCTACTTCCAGGCACCACATTTGTGATCACAGGGCCTCGGTCCCTGGTTAGGGGTCCGTGTGTGTGTGTGTGTGTGTGTGTGTGTGTGTGTGTGTGTGTGTGTGTCTAGTACTGCTGGCCCAGTGCCTTCCTCTCCCTGGCCCAAGTGACAGAGCCAGACCTCATGGGTCACACCTGGCTCAGGGGCCAAGCACCCTGGCTTTCTGGAAATTCTGTCCTCTTTGTCTCTGGGAGATGGGTTTGTGGGACAAGAGTAAACAGAAGAGTCCGGCCAGGCGTGGTGGCGTACGCCTATGGTCCAAGCACTCAGGAGGCTGAGGCAGGTAGACTGCCTCGAGTTCAAGGCCAGCCTGGGCTACATAGTGAGACCTGTCTCAAAAAAAGAAAGAAAGAAAAGAAAAGAAAAAGAAGAGTCCATGGCCTGGCCCTTGTGGGGCTGCACACTCACATTCACTGCGTGCTCCTTGGCCAGCCCCATCTCGGATGGGGCTGGTGGAGCAATGGGGTCTGCAGGACCTCTCGGAAGTGCATGGCAACACAGCCCAGGTGCAACCCTCCCAGAAGACCTTGCTGCAGCCTGGCTGCCACAACACCTGCCAGGACCCCTCTAGCTGCAGCTCTGTGTGGTTGTGCAGGGTGGCGGGGTGGTGGCTGCAGGTCGGCCACCTCCAGCCACTGGCCATGGAGGTCACAGCCCCCAGGAGCTGCCTCTGGGCTGTGCCTGGACAGATAAGGGGCTGCTCTGAGCCCTGATCTCCCGCCACCTGGCCATGCCCAGCGTCCCTCTCGGCAGCTCCCTATCTGCCCCCCTTACCCCTGACCGTGTACCTCCTCCTATCCAGGGACCCTGGTCCTCTCTGTTCTCAGTCCCCTCTGGCCACTGCCCCAGCCCTGCTGTGTGGTCCACTGTGCACAGACAACCCCCACCAAAGCCCCCAGGCCATCACCCCAAGGGCCAGGACCTGTTTGGGGCAGGTCCAGGGGCCAAGGCCTGTGGCAAACCCGCTGCGTCCTTGGTGGGTGGTGCCGGGCTTACCTGGCTCCCTCTGGCCCTCCGCACCTGTTTATCAGGGTGACACGGTGTCATGGGGCTGTCCCAGGACAGGCAGCTCTGAGCCAGGTTACTGTTGCCTCTCAGGGCCTGGTGCCCCCCACGGCCCCGCAAGGAGGGCAAAGGACAGGGGGCTGATAAGCTCCGGCTCTTCTAGGCTCCCTCCACAGGGAATTCACACCCTAGGATGTTCTTGGGGCTCAAAGGTCCCTGGGAAACATGTTCTGCTCGAGAGA